GACAGACACTCTCTTCATTTATAATACAACAAGTTTCATCGTGTTTCACATTTTTAATTCCGTAGGGATTGCACTGAATGCTTTTTAATGTAATAATCATCTTCGACCTATTTTTTGACTTATTTTTCGTATTTTATCAGTATAAATGTGATAATACCATTACATTCAGAATCGAGATTTAAACGTCAAAATATCCTATGGAGTAGTCAAGTGAAATTTATTCAGTTATCTAACAACAGATCTGTGGAAAAGAGTAATGACCTGAATATCCAAAATTAAATTATATACTCTAAAAATTGAGGAATTTGAGTAGATTTGATGTGACGCCTTCGATACTCAAAATTGAAGTATATGTCCTCAGACTTGAGGAATTTGAATTGATTTGATGTAACAATCGAATAATTATAGAGGAAATATGTCCTGCAGACATCAAGAATAATAATTAGCATATGGTTTTCCTTCTGCAATTTTCCCATATCGTAGGTGTCTCAATTTATTTTATCCTATTTGTTTGTATCCATGATCTCTTCCCTCTTTCACAACATTAAAGTCGATTTTCTTGGTTTAGATTAGAGATTTTTTTTTCCCTTTTGTTCTGATTTTTTCCCAACAATTATTTTGGTTCGATAAAGACTGGATTCATATTCAATTCTTAATCGATTGTGCGTGATTTTAATCGATTATAATGTGATTTTTTCCTTATTTTTTTTTACATGGGACCGAATTCGTGTTTTACGAGAAGATAAAAATTTTTTGATTTGGTTTTTTTTCTAATAATAAATTAATCTAAACATAATATTTAGTAGAGAAAAAAAACACATCTATGTGTCTGAATAGAATTTATGAGTAAGGAACAGTCTCATAGTTAAGTTCTTATATTTGGTAGTTATCAAAGAATTTAGAATTGAGAACCGGATCTAAAAATTTCTGAATGTTATTGAAAATGTTTGAATCGTTTCTGATAATACTATGATAGATACAAGATATTAAAATGAGTAAAAGAACGTTGATACAATTCTATGGTTTAGTAATTTTCTTGCTAATGAATATGTAAAGAGCAAATCAGCAGCTATCAGGACTGATTTGTTTAAGAGATTTCTCTATAAGTCAATATGTATCTTGAGACAAATCCCAAACAATTTCTCACTATGTGCATGCATACCAGCAATGTGAGTGTGCTGAAATATTCACGCAGCTAATAAATCCTAATAAATCGTCAATAAATTAATAAATCTTGTAAAAAAAGAAATCCCAAAAGAACAAGTTTCGAAGGCCTCTCTTTTTGGTAGAATAAATACTGTACATGCCTTTACGTTGGTGAAGAGTTTTGACTTTCGGTACGTAAAAATTCTTTTTTGCTTGCATCCTTTTGTTTTATTTAACGAAATAAATATTCAAAAATTTGATAGAACAATTAGAAGCTTAGTCCGAATTGTTTCGATGAAGTTCGTTTCAGTTCAAAAAAATTTATGCTAAATTGTTGACAAACAGGAGCACTTTTTCATAATTGTTCATCAAGACATTGAAAGACTCAACAATTTCGTGAAAGCTATTTAAATTGGAAAGACTTGAAGGAAATAGTTTTTGATTGATTTCAAATGTTTGTACGTAAGAACAGAGTGTATTCGGATAGTCTTTGATGTTTTCATGAATTTGACCGATGTTAGTGCGATAAGCATTCAAAGAAGGATGCTTTCGTAGAGAACTTTCTACAAGTATTTCTAGGCCCTTGTTGAGAAATGAAAGTGCTTTCGAATGATCTCCCATCGAGATGTATATATTATCCAATATTGTTATAGCAAACACCTATGCATGGATGATTTGAACAGGACATTTTTTGAATGATTTCAAGTGCCTTTTCATGAAAAGAGAACGCTTTTATATACTCGCCCATCTTCGTATACATCCTACCCATGTTATTATATGAAATAGTCAAATCGTGATGACTTGAAGCAAGTGCTTTTCAATAGATTACAAGTGCTTTTTCTAGATAATACAGTGCAAAGCTCTGAATGGGATGGGATAGGACTAGAAAATCGTCCCATGGCGCAACCTGGTGTGTCCCATCCTGTCCCATGAGATCAGCAAAAAAATTTGTTCATCCCATCCCATAGAGTTCACAAGTCGTTCCATCCCATGGCATCCCATGGGAGATCGCGTTTAGTAAAAAGTATTTTCAAGCTTTTAATAGACTATCATGACTTTCTTGTTCAGTTATTGTGGTGGCTCTCTCTCTCTGCTCTCGTTCAGTACCTTTTATTTGACATTGAATTTTTTATACTCATCACATAAGTTTTACTGTTTTCTTAAGATGATATTACGAATCTAGAATATTAGAATCCTGATGAACTCCAGTGAATACAATACTGGATTCATCGAAGCAACTGAGATTCGTCTGAATTTACTAGGTTCTATCAGACTTCAGAATCCACTTTGCTCTTAAGAGATTCCAGTTACATGTTTCTAAGCATTAAAAAGTAATAAGATTTCTTCTTCAGCACATACGTCATCCATGAATCCTCAACTTTTAATAAGTTTTGTTAATTTCTTAGATTGCTAGAAGTCGTTAAATATCCTGTCGTATTATCGTGCCATCCGGTCAATTTCTTCAGATCTTTTAAGATTTTGGTGAAACCTATCATAACTAGAATTCAGCAGAATCCATCAGGATTTGCTATCTGTCGATTAAATTTGTCTACATCGAAACTTATTTTAAAAAATGCATCGAAATTTGATTTGAAGCATAGGTTCCTGATGACTATGTCCATATATTCATATAATTAATGGTTAACCTGGGAGAGTATTAAAATTATAAACTAGTTGAAAACAGATAGTACTCCACAGAAATAGTTTTAGTTTTCACTGTTTAAACGTCTGTGAAAAGATTTAAAGCTTTTCATAAAAAATGTTACAAGAAAGACAGAAACGAACTATTTATGTTGAAGTAAAAGACCAACAATGAGGATTTAAAAAGTCCTATTACTCACCGCCCTTACCATGTCCTTTGAATCTACATTTCAAGAGAATAGAACTTGCATTTTTTTCACGAGAAAAAAGAAGAAAATCTCATGGGACGAGAAATTCGTCCCATCTCATCCCATGGAATTAGACCTTCATCCCATTCCATTCCATCCCATGGGTTATTTCAAAAAAAATATTTCATCCCATCCTATTCCATCCCATTCGAAGCTCTAATACAGCGCGTCCGAATACTCTTTTATTATATAATATTATTCGCTGATCTTGTTCTAGCAACTAGCCAAGAAATATTGATTTGAATGGAGAGTTTCTTGAAAGATGGCAAGTACTTTCTTGAAGATTAAAAGTGTCTTTGAATATTCTCCCATAGTAAGGTATATGCTTCTTTTGAATAACCATATAACTGTCATCTATTTATCCCTTGATATTTTGTATGATTTGCATTCTTTTTTAATGGAACTTTGAATATACATGCTAGTACTACTTAATTATAAAAATTTGTTGATAACATCGACCGTTGAAAAAAATAAATTCTCTCTCTTCATACGAAAATTCATGAAGTTCATGATAACATTCATAATTTCAGTTATTTTTTTACTATGTCAAACTTGAAGTATCTCTACATACATTAGAAGTAAATCAACGTTCGTTCGGGGACCTATCAACTGATGTTTTTATCAATATTATAATGCCATGTATCAACGAGTCTTTACTATTTCATTTCATCACAATCACCAAGTCAATTCTTCGGATAAAATCTAATTCTCGATAACCCACATTAACCATTTGAGGACGGATGGTTCATTTTTGGGCCACCTATTTTTCAGTAAAGAAAAAAATGTTTATTTCACATTAAACTATTAAATATGCAAGGTCATAAACAATTACATTTGTCATCTCATACTTTCCTTCTCTCATATAAATTCTTTTCAAATATCCCTTGTTCTTGCTGTTGAGTTTTCATATCGATGGATACCAAATACGTTTTTTTTAGCTTCAAATTATCATAAAGACAACGAAGTTGTTTCGATTTTCCATCGTTTGAAAAATGATCAATGTATTACAATTGTTTGTCCGAAAGCAGTATCAGTTTTCACATGAAGTTGATCGACTCAATCAAAGAATATCGTGCTACAATCTCGATCGCAAGTCTAAAAGGAACTGTTTATTTATTTTCTGAATGCATCTATTTTCAACTCATTCATTTGTTATAATCAATTGGCTCAAGATAAGTTAACATATTTGAACTACAGGGTGTCAGTGGCGAAGTCTCTCTGCTCCGGTAGTGAACAAATAAGTCATGGTAGACCTTCTTCTGAAAAGAAGTCTAAGCTAGCATCATCAAAAGTCTGTAAAAGGAAAAAGAATATGTGCTTATTGTAGCACCAAGGAAGCAAATTTTCGATCCAGTATTGAGTGCTTTACTTGCAAATTGTCATTTTGTTCAAAAGATGAAAAAAATTGTTTTTTTTTAATTATCATAAGATTTTTATGTAGCCACTTTAAGTTAAAATAAAACAAAACGGTTGAAAAATGTTTTTTTCTTCTATTAAAAAATTCCGTCCTCAAAGGATTAAATTATTCTTTATATAGCAGAAAACATTAGAATATTGATGTAGTTATAACGAAAAAAATGATACTGACATGTAGTTGTCAAATGATAATAAACTATTCGTATCATTCAATGATGGTCATATGATTCCGATGTTTCGATAAGTGTTATCTATTATGTTATCGACAGCTTTATGTATTTTTTATTCATGAATCTTTATCTACTAATGACTATATGATAACGAAAAAAAAGACATTTTACTTTGAAAATGCTTCTTTCATATGAATAAATCAAAGAGAAAAAAAATGATGCATAAAAATATGCTGGACAAATAGTGAAGAAGAATAAAATGATGCAGAAAAAAAATGCTAGACTAGTGATCAAGAATAAAATGATTCAGAAAAATAATGCTGGACAAATAATGGATAAGTATAAAAGAAATGAAGTTTTAAAAAACTAAGGACAAGTTTCATAATGCACGTGTTTTAGTAGTTGGATCACTAGAAAAAACAAAAAACCGATATTCACTAAGTTTAATCACAAAAAAAAATACTCACGTATGATTTTCAGAATTACCAACACCTTTATCACCTAAAATTATAAAATAAATTTAATGAAATCTTTATATTAAATTTAATTTTACCAGTATTACTATTTAATGTTTGAGCTTGAGCATGTTGAGCACCAGGTTGAACATTAATTAATGGAATAATATGTTGTTTGAAGCTTGCCACCAACATTGAAATATGTACAAGATTACTAAAAAAAAAATACGACTATCTTTTTTAAAGAAGTCTCTTGAATTTCAAAAAAACATACCCTTTTTTTCTTGCATAATCTTGAATATTTGTTTTAATTAAATCAGCATATTTGCCATTTTTCTAAACCAATAAATAGAACAGTTAAATACAAGGGTCATTCCAAAAGTTTTTTCGCTCAGCTCTCTTCAAAGACTTAAGTAAGAACTAACTATACTGCTATAATGTTCGGATATATTTAGGATTATGTGCAAAATTTCAGACGTCTCAGTCTTGTGCTTTGTTGTAATCTATCATTTCTTTTGTAGTAGGTACACGCGATTTCCAATCTAACACATAATTGGTTGAATGAATGCGTTTTGTATAACAGTTTTCAATCCTTTAACGAGTTGTATTATAAAAACAAAATGCATCACAAGATGCAGCGTGAAAAGCTCTAGAATTTATATAAGATCGCTTTTTTTTGTAGTTGCATATTTTGCTTTCAAAATGGACAACATTCTCAGCGATCAAATGTCGATGATGCTAAAAGATAACACGAATAAGAAATTCCTTGTTTCTTATTTCATCATTTTATAGTCTATACAGATTGTATAGCGTTTCATGTTGCATCTTTCGTCATATTTTGTTTTTATTTATGAAAACATATTAGGCGGTCAAAAGATAAAATAAATAAAAACGATGTCATTTTGCACCAAAAAAAAAATATATATATATATATATATATATATATAATTGTTCTAAAGCAGGAATACGATAGGTCAAAATTTTGTCCATTTTAAAAGCAAAACGTGCAATAACAAAAAAAAACGGTCTTATTTAAATTGTAGAGCATTACATGTTGCATCTTGTGATGTGTTTTATTTTTTTCAATACAACTTATTAAGGGATTGAAAACTGATATACAAAACTCGACTATTTGACCTGCCTCACTAGTATAAAAGAAATGATGGATTTCGACAAACCACAAGACTTAGAAGTCTGAAATTTTGTACATAATCGTAAATATGTCTGGGCCTTACAGTGGTATAACTAGTTCTTAATAAAACCTTTTAAATGAACAGTACGAAAAACTTTTGGAGTGACCTATGTATATTTTGTAAAAGACGTTCTTACTTCAATGTTGATTATCATATTACCATCATCACCTTTGTGGATTGTACATAACAGAACAATATCATTATTTTTATATTTAATAATAAGTTCGCCATCATCATTTACTTTGTATACGAATCATTTTGATAACTAAAAAAAAAACAACTAGTTTAAAAATATTAAATTAATCTCATACATCATTTGGACCATTTTCACCGACAACCAAGAAGTTATATTCCCACATGACATAATGGAACACATTTATTAAATATTTCCAATCATCATTTTTATAAACATCTTGATAATGTGTATGTATTAATTCAAGACCGGGAAATTTAGACATAATATCTGAAATGTGAAACAAAAGTTTTTTTTTTCTAAACTTTATGAAAATATGAAGCTAATGAAAGAGAAATCATTGATTAAAAAGTTCAATAACACGTAATTGAAAGTTCCATCAAAACCACTCATTTTTAATAGCGAATAATATGTTAAACTAATTTTTTCTAGTTTAATCAATCCAAAACTAAAATTATCTTTGAAATAAAATAGGAAAGAGAACAAATTTCTTCTTTGAAATTAAAAATTAATATTCGTTCAAAATCTTTTCCTTTTGTATCTCTAAACACACATGAATGCATGAATGAACAGATTTTTTTAAATAAAAACATTTTTCACTACCAGAGAAACTAAATAAACGAAAATTTCAATTAAAAACAAAAGAGAAATGAAACCAATCACTTTCAAATTAATTTTGTCTTTGGTATTGATAATAATGAGCTTGTTAAATAATAATCATTTTATATATCCAATAGTATGTATAATACAGCTTGTTCTTTTGAAAGTTCTGAACAAAATACAATAAAAATAAATTTTTTAGATAAAAAATAAAACCGTATGTTGAGTGATGAATGATCCAAAAATTGTTTTGATAAACAAAGATTGAAACAATTGGATCTTGAATATGCATAATACGTTGTTGAATACCAAATAAATTCATTTGTGATGTACCAATTGCCACAAAATCTTCACCTAGACCAACTTCTCTGTTCATCCACAAAGAAATATCATCTCATATGCTACCTAAAATATTTAGTTTCATCTTTCTTCTGCATGATCTCCAATTTAGATCAAAAACTCAACTTGTATCTATTGTAGAACAAGTAAATCAATGTATTTCATTAAATTCCATGCTGTCATACAAACAGCATCTTGTGATGAGTAACTTTAAACAAAATATTTTTAAATAAAATTAATAATGAAGAAAATCCTTTCTTACTTCATACAAATATCATGAATCAAACAATTCATAATTGGTAATTGACGATTTACATAAGTCACGATAAACAATGTACCATAGAATGAATAAGTAATTAGATTAATTACGTAGAAAAAGTAAATGTTTTTATTTTAAATGTTAGTTAAAAAAAGAAATAAACTTCATCGGTGAAACTATTTTCATGTTTGCTTTCTTGTTCATTTATGGGTGGGGGTGGGTGTGGGGTGTGGGTGTGGGTGTGGGTGTGGGTGTGGGTGGGTGTGGGTGTGGGTGGGTGTGGGTGTGGGTGTGTGGGTGTGTGGGTGTGGGTGTGGGTGTGTGGGTGTGGGTGTGTGGGTGGGTGGAGTGTGGGTGTGTGGGTGTGGGTGTGGGTGTGGGTGTGGGTGTGGGTGAGGGTGGATGTGGATACTGGTATTCTGTACACCCACACCCACATCCACACCCACCCACACCCAC